AGAGTGAAAGATGATGATGGTTTCATCCAGATCCCACACGAATACCCGCTCCAGGTCGTTCTCGGGGCCGGGGGAGGGGTTGTTCTGCCGCCGGCCTCGTCCACCACGCCCTCGAGCTGCGCGCGCGGGAAAAACAACAATGGAACAGTGTTTACAATACAATTAAAAAAACACAATGGCACAGTGTTTACAATACAATTAAAAAAACACAATGACGCAGTGTTTACAATACACTTAAAAAACACAATGGCGCAGTGTTTACAATACAATTAAAAAAACAATGGCGCAGTGTTAGAAATACAATGCACGAAAAACAATAGCAGAATATAATATAATAAACAGTATAGAATATATACACGATGCGACAGGTCGATTTTCCGGGACCATTTCTTTCTCATAGAATGAAAACCTAGTGCGTGGGTAACAATTGTAGAGGGCGTCTGTTAGGGCGATGATACTGATGCTACGGCCATGTTGATTATAAGCACCACGAGAGAGTTATGACGTCATCACGTACGCGGCGTCACACGTGTGACGACATGGTAACTACTCTAAATTCTGACGTCAGCGAAAATAACGGTGATATGACACTTTGAGAAGGTCGCCAACCAAGAAGGTCGAAGATGCCGCCAGGCATTCGAGTGGTCCCCCGGCTACTGATACTGACTGACACTTACATCTGGTGCCGTTGCTTGGCTCGCACTTGATAGGTGGAGAAGGCGTTTCTGTCAACGAAGAAGAGAATCCTTCTGCAAGAGTGCGAAAGAAAAGATAAGAGCGATGATCGGGGCTTCATCGGAGACAAGTCGCAGCGCAAAACACATGTAGCTCTTCACATTTTCATTCTCGCGGCAATAGAAGTTGGCATATCATGGTTTTGTGTTTACTCAAGTGGTTCCACTTCGCTGAAAAACCGCGCGCGCAACCAACCGACACGAACTCCAAAAGGTGTCTTAGTCTTAGTCGGTGTATTGCAAGATATCGTTTCAGTAAAATGGCGAGAGCGCTTAGCGAGCGTGAAGGGAAAACAAAGCCAGGATTTCCCCGCACTCTTGTCACTGTAGCAAGAATATATACGCCAGCCTAGCCTGCCAGACCAGTATATTATATATATAGGTTGTCATTTTATAGCCTGATGGAGAGAGATAATTCTCGAAAGCTTGCTGATTATAATTAACACCTAATTAATTTAACATCTTATATATTCTATTTTTCTACATTTATTTTCATATCTACATGGGTGTTCGTGTGTTTTTACTTCTCTCTCTCTCTCTCTCTCTCTCTATATATATATTATATAACATATCATAATTATCATAATATATTAGGATATTAGGTAGAAACGAGATATATCATCGTTAGGTTGTATTAGCAAATCCATCATGGCCGCCAAGCAACACAACAGACGTACGGTGGATCAAAACGAGTTAAAGTTTCCGAGCTAACGAAATTAAAATAAAGAACTAATAAAGAACGTTGGGCAGACGAACATGCCACGTCTCCGTTGACGACCGCGTCACGCCCAGTTCATTTACGGCGCCAATTTTCTCTCGACTGATTAATTAACTAGTTATAACCAGGAGCGGACAATATGTGCCTAGTATAGCGGGAAACAACGCCTTCTGGCGATCGCATGAAAAACGAGCAGTAAAATCCCCCTCCCCCTTGATCGAGGCGTAAAATTAAGGATGCTGACTCAATAAATGGGTTCGTACGATGTGGCGCACGGAGCGAGTATCACCACATGTGTCTACCGTGTGACGACCGTGATTCAAGCCGAGTTGCACGACGTCGCCCGTGCGCATGCGCGCATCGTATAGTCGCCACCCTCGCCCCGACACCACCGCAGTGGAGAAATGCTACTAAGTACCAAATTTGCTAAGATCACCGTATAATATATATATATATATAT